TGGTTCTTTAAATGGGAAGCAACGAAAAGATCAAAAGAGACAAGAAAACTTGAAACGAATTGACGGTACGGAGGTATCTGTACTCTTCCCCTCTCTTCTCACCTCCTTCGCCTACGAACGAGCAGACTTGAAAGCAAAACTTGACGTGTCTGAAAGGGGACTAACAAGGAGTATAAATACGAGCAGCCAACAAAAATTATGCAGAACGAAAAATGACACTGAAGATGGCACAACGCCGAAACCGGTTCGTCTCCAAACCAAATTTGACAAGGGATGACGGAAATTCGTTCCAAAAAAGGAAATTTTTATTGAGCTTTGTACCACGATTGTTTATTAGGAAATATTGAAAAAGCAACAAAGTCTAAGCGGTAGAAGTTATAGCAGCTATTTCGGAGATCACCACATCTCTTCATCAGATTTCTTTTTTCTAGACTTCAGCAGGGATCGAACCTGCGTATTCGATGTTCAAAGTCAGAAGCGTTAACCACTGAGCTATGTATATCCCGTAAACTCTTGTTGATAATTCATTTTCCTTATTCAACNTTAGTTCTAAAATGACGAATTTTTGAAATCGAACTTTGTGGTGCTAAAATTCGGATAAAATCAAAATTTTCCAGAAAAAATCAAATTTCGTCTTCATTTGCAAAATATCAGCTCTGCAACTTTCTTCTTTCTGACAAAAATTGCATTAGGGCTGCAAGTTTATAAAATACATCGACGTTTTTTCGATCTGAGGCAACAAAATATCGATGCATCCTGTATAAAAATCGATATTTTTGATGCAGCGAATGAATTAAAAATATACAAGAAAATGGAATAATTGGAACTTCGATAAATGTGGTGATGTACAATAATGTCAATGACATTAATATTAACCTTTCAATTGTGTATTAATGTCAGCGGCATTAATTCGATTGACATTAATGCACGTCACCATAAATGTTTAAGTATTAACTCACAGTGAAATGTATTTATAGTTACACAGCCCAGCTATACAAATAAATTCTTAAAAAATAAATAATATTTCAGATGCTTTATGATCTTAAAACTTTATCTAATGTNGTTACATCTCGTAAACTCTTGTTGCTAATTCATTTTCCTTATTCAACCAACTACTATCAAGTGCAGCTGATTTGCCGCTATTTAAACTCGACAGCGTGGTTGTTGTTGTCAATTCTATACATCCATTTGCTTATTTGCTTTTTTGTATAGTTTCAGGCAGGCTCTTCCTAAACTATGNTTAGATATCGCAGCGCATGTCAAAGGCTGTCGTCAAATTTTTTGTGGCAAGTTATTGATTTTCCATTTTCCAACACCGATGTCAAATGTGAAGTGAAATTTTTGGCATGAGTCAAAATTACCGGCCGTTTAGCTATGGGCAAATCAAAAATGTGGCTGGGTAGAACTCTTCATGCCCTATTATCTATTTTGTTAATTGTTTACTTAAAGATCTCGCTTTAAAAAGCAAAATCATACGTTGTGATTAAATGTAAGACTTTTTTAACAAACATACGTATGATTGCATCTGTATATAACGTGAAGCATGCAATTTGTTTTTTTTTTTTTAAGCAAGAAAAATAAATGAAATCATGTTATACGCCCCAAAAAAATAGTTTAAATATGCTACATTTGCCAAATTTTTTGATTTTTTTAAGATATTTTTTTGAAAAAAAAAAAAATTATTTGTATTTATTTTTGGTTGTGAAGCAAAAAAGTGCGATATGCATCGTTAATCATATTAATATAAGTTCATCTGGATTTCTTTTTCGATTTGAGTTGTCATTCTTACAAACAAACTTTTAAATTTTCAGATTTTTTTTTTGGAAAATTCAAAAAAATTCGAACTAAATCGAATTTGCACCACCAAATTACGAATCGAATAATCGAATGGTTGGGCAATGTTCGAAATTCGGAAAAAATCGTATTTCAACCCCCCACTACCCATCCCTACTATCAAGTGTAGCTGATTTGCCGCTATTTAAACTCGACAGTGTGGTTGTTGTATGTATAGAATTGACAACAACAACCACGCTGTCGAGTTTAAGGATATCTGCACACTTGTCGTTCAATCATAGTTGCGTTATCGTCTCGCCCTGATTAGCAACAAGAGTTTACGGGATGTACATAGCTCAGTGGTTAACGCTTCTGACTTTGAACATCGAATNAAAATCGTATTTCAACCCCCCACTACCCATCCCTACTATCAAGTGTAGCTGATTTGCCGCTATTTAAACTCGACAGTGTGGTTGTTGTATGTATAGAATTGACAACAACAACCACGCTGTCGAGTTTAAGGATATCTGCACACTTGTCGTTCAATCATAGTTGCGTTATCGTCTCGCCCTGAAATTTTGGGCCGAGCACATGCATTTCAAAGGAGGTCTGCACACTTGTCTTTTTCGGCTAGTTATCGGCAAATCGTAGAAGATGCAGAAACGGATAAGTTCGGAACTGTCGTTTGCTAATCGTTGTGCACGCATTGCTTGTTTACATTTTATGGGGAAAAATTAGTGAAAAAGTTAATATTTGCATTAAAATTGAATAAAAATTAGTGTCCTTGGCATAAAATCTGTCGAAATTATTAAAAAGTGGATTATTGCAATAAAATTCAATAAATCTGAGCGTTTTAACTATAAAACATGACGAAATTGTAAAAAGGCTCTGTGTGCCTTAAATGTGTGAATAAAAATTAGTGTCTTTGGCATAAAATCTGTCGACATTATTAAAAAGTGGATAATTGCAATAAAATTCAATAAACGTGAGCGTTTTAACTATAAAACATGACGAAATTGTAAAAAGGCTCTGTGTGCCTTAAATGTGTGAATAAAAATTAGTGTCTTTGGCATAAAATCTGTCGACATTATTAAAAAGTGGATAATTGCAATAAAATTCAATAAACGTGAGCGTTTTAACTATAAAACATGACGAAATTGTAAAAAGGCTCTGTGTGCATGCATACATTTCAGGAAAAGAAAAGAAGAGATATTACTAACAATTTATTTCTAGAATTGTTGCAGCACAGTCCATATTTTAAAAATTGCAGGTTTTTGTAAATATTTCGCGAAAATATCAACCAGAAAAACAGAAAATACCTGCTCCAAGTAAATTTTTAGACGCCAAATGAATTGAAATATCACCACCGAGTGTGCGAAAATGTAGTCGTCATGTAATCGTTGCATCATGATTGTGACGATGAAGTTACTATGATTGGACGACCAATGTGCAGAAAGCCTAAATAGCGGCAAATCAGCTGCACTTGATAGCACTGGGTTGAATAAGGAAAATGAATTAGCAACAAGAGTTTACGGGATGTACATAGCTCAGTGGTTAACGCTTCTGACTTTGAACATCGAATACGCAGGNTGTGGTGATCTCCGAAATAGCTGCTATAACTTCTACCGCTTAGACTTTGTCACTTTTTCAATTTTTCCTAATAAACAATCGTGGTACAAAGCTCAATAAAAATATTATCAAGATTTTTATTTTTAGAACATTTGGAAAATCGTAGTTTTTGATTTTTACTTTTTCGGTCAAAATTTCTTCGTTGTTTCGTCATTTTTATTTTTTCGATCAGAAGTAATAATTTTGCATTTATATGTTTTTCGATAATTTTTAACTGTTATAATAGAGACTACGCTTTTACTACTCTTTAAAATTTTTTATAAGCAATGAAATCTGAAAATAACGGTTATAGTATCTAAAATAGCGACTAAACTTGATCGAAAAAATAGAAATAATAAAAGAACCATTAAATTATGATTGTTGTTATGAAGATCATAACCCTTACGGTCGCCGCTTTGAGGCATTCTGTGAACCAACGAACCAGATAAAAATATAAAATAAATAATATTTGCGTAATTTATATTGCATTGCCCTCTTTTACCACAACAAAATGCATTAAGGGTATTTATTTCAGTACGCAAGATCCTTATTTGTGCAATTTTGTAACTTCGCGCAGTTTTTTTTTTTCATTTGGGCCAATATATCCCTTCATTCTGTGCTTTGTCTGTCAGTAGATTATTTGCGAAATTTCACAATTTCGATTTTAGGCTAGAAGCAGAATTCGCAGAAAGATCACATAAATTTCTTTTCTGGTAAACATTTTTTTAAATTCGAATTCGATGCTAATGAATTTAAATATTATATACATATGTAAGTAGGTGCAACATTGTGTATCATTTTATATTTTTAGTTTATTTGTATCAAATAGTTATTAAATACGCCTTATATATACACATTTGTTTGTATACTTTTTCATAGTGTACTACACATGCATTCGAATATGTATAATGTTTGAAAAGATACATACGTGCATAAACATGTACATGCATATGTATGTATGTATGTATTAGAGGTTTACGCCGACAGGCTTTGCGGCGGCGGCGTGTTCAACTTCAAAAAGNAATTTTTTCTAAAGCTTTGAGCACGGACATACATATGTACGCAAGATAGGTATGTAGGTAAAGATTAAAGAATAAAATATGTATGTAAGTTAGATTCAAATATTTTGCTTTAAAAAAAGTGTTCGAAACTTAACTATAAATATATATCGAGGGCTTATATTCAATATCCTTTATATGCAATTTTCACAAAAACTACTTTGTGATGTTAGAACCCATCTGGGACTTACCCTGTCATCACTGATTTTAATTCTGATTTTGCAATTTAATAGTAAAGCGTTATACAAGGTCAGCATTGATAGGTGTGTATAGTAACAAATAGTCCGTACTAATTTGTACTGGAACCTACAAATTTTTACTGGAAAAGTGTATAATAACACAAAAAATTTGCAAGAGAACACTGAATCGAGAGCGTAATAACACGAGAGCAGTGTTGCCGTTTTAGCCCTTTGGTGGCTAGATTTAGCTACCACATACTTTTTTTGGCCACATAAATTTAAAATTGCCCCTAGCCCTTTTTTTAGCCCTTTGGAGAATTTATTCATACTTGGCATGAAAAAGTTGTATATGCTTAATTTGATATATGTATTTTTTTCATTTATATTAGAGATGAATTTTTAAAAAAGAAAGACTGATATATATATATATATATATTAGATGTTCCTTACGTTTTTATACATACATACTGTGAAAGTGTTAGGGCTGTTAACATATTTATTAGCGATTTAACTATAGTTTAAAATAGATAAGTTTTAATTTTAATATGCTTAATTTGTTAAATGGCCCATCAAGTCGATTGACCGTGTATGTTATTGTGGTGTGATTGTACCAGCTGCTGATGCGACTCCAAAAACTATTTGAAAATTTTATGATTCTACCAGCATGCTGGTGTCATGAGTGGTGGAATCAGCTCAAGTAAAAAGTATTGTGGCGGAAATTTCTTCACTATATGAGTCAGAGCCGTGTTTGTGGAAGATTAAGTTCACGATATTGCAGTTATGAATTAAAAAAAAAAAACAATTTTTTAACGAAATGGTTGAAAAATTATGAAATTTCGGCTCTAATCATTTCGATCATTCCTGGACTTCATTTGTAAAGAAATAAATATTGTAGCAGCATGCTGGTAAGTTATATGCTTCGAGCTTGATAGTAAAATCACTTGATGGAGCTAGCAAGCTGGTGTCGTAAATTTCCCATTTTATACAAAAAGGTATTTGGTTGGATAAAATATTAGCCTTTTTTCCAGAGTTTATTGTTTTTCTATTCTCTTATTTACTTATTGGAAAATGTTTAGATGTACATATACTTATATATGTATATGTAAAAAAAAAATTTAGCTACCTTTTTTAGCCACAACGACTTCTTTTAGCTCTTTTTTTGCCCTTTTTTGAAAGGAATTTGGCTACCAGAAAAAATGATTCGCGGCAACACTGCACGAGAGAGCTGCAAATTCTTGCTAGTGAAATTTTTATTAGCAAAAATTAGCTATCAGAAGAAGAACTAGAATAAATGGCAAAAGCCGCCATTTGTTGAATTGGTTAAGCATAAACACAAGTAAAATGAGTGGAAATCAAAATACTAATGATGTACTTACTGGACTGTGTAAGTGCTTGTGTGTAATGCAAAAGAGTTTAAAACTGATCTATAAATAGTAAAGTATTTATAGCAGAATCTCGAAAAAAACGCAACACCTGTTCACTTGCAAGTTTTTACTAGTTTTGTGTTCAATAACTTTTTTTTGCTCTTTTTCTCAATTTTACGCTCTATTTTGCGTTTACGCTCTAGCTACAATTTTTTACTAGAGAAGTTACTATACACACCTAATATCAAGTCTTAGGTGGATTTTTCTATCTGAATCTCATTTTTGTGAAAAGTGCAGTTAGAGGATATTGAATATAAGCCCTCGATATATAAAACTTATAACCATGGTACACGCATGTGTATACATTTATGTATGTACATATGTGTAAAGAATCAACGATATTAAATAATTTATACTCTTAATGGATTTCAATTCATTTCCCGTTTGTCCCTCTGGCTTATTTGTGCCATTGTTATATATTGGCGTACGAGTCGTGATATCTCGTGCGCTTGCTCAGTCTGGACCCGTATTACTCGCTGTTGCATGAGATTACCAACTTTCATGTCCAGAAAGAGAGCACCGTCCTCCGATCGAACCTAAAGTATAAAAGTCAAAGTTTGAAAATTATTTTCCTAGTCCATATGTATAAGCTATTTATCTGACTAACCTTGCGGGTGGAAATTACTTCCATGAATGGCCAGTGCTGTAGCGTTTCATGCGTGTTTGGATCCAGGAATAGCACACCACGTCTATTTAAGGCCAGTATCAGATCACGCCACATTGGATTGGTGTCTTCGACATGTGGTCCCTCCTCGGCCCAAATGCGTTTCACTGCAAAGAAACTACTGCCGAACAAGGGCCACGCCGACAGCACCGTAAGAAATTGTGCCTTCACTTGGCCCGGCGTCAAGCCAGCAATTTGAGGCCAGGCAGATTGCACTAACCCCACCCATTGCGCCGGACGAATTTCGCGAATGCCCAACGCCGGTTTAGGCAGAAGGAATTTAATTTCTTTCATAGCCGGAACATGTGTTAGATCAGCGGCGCGATGAAGCAGCGCAGCTATACGGGCCATGTCGCGCACAATCTCTGGAATAGGCACTCCATTGCTAGGTATTTCCAATAGCAGACCCTCTAGGTAATCTGGCGCCACTTGATTGAAAAGCACCTCCACATAGAGAGGCGTTGGTGCAGGATCACGTTTTAGAGGGAAATGCCAAACTGAGCGACAGAATATCAAGTAGAATGGCTGGCCGGATTTAAGGAGCTCCGTTGTAACGTCTAATATATACTCGTCCGCAGCGAGGGGCATCGTAAAGGCGTCGCCTTGTACAATACAGTATAAAGAAAACTCCTGCTGCTCAGCCTCGGATTCCACGCTAAGCAGCGCACAAAGTTCGGCAATGACGTCAGCGACCACTGTTGAACAACGAGTGTTGACGACACGTTCCGCCCCTCCTGGCAGGCGATAAATTTGACGACGTGCTGAACGTCCAGCAGATACAGCAGTAACTTCTTCTACACTTGGAACGTTCTTCCGACCGCCACATCGCGCTGTTTTACGCAGATTAGCTAAACAAACCGCTGCCGTACCGTGACAAGAACGCCTCCGATCCGAAGCGGCCGAAGTCAAGTGTTCCATTAGGTAGGGGCGTAGCGCATCGGAGCATCCAAAGTAGGCTGCTAAAATGCTTAGCAGACGCCATGCACGCTGCGCAGAGTCCGGACACGGAGAGCGATTGGCAGTCGTCTGTTTCATCAACTGACAATAAACCTCATCGCGAAGCGCCAAATATTTATGACAATGCTGAAACAACAAAAATAATTTATATGAACGTTTTTTTTCGAAAAGTGCACCTCTTTGTGAGTTTTACCATAAGCACTGTGTAGACACACTTAACTTCAGTCAGCTCAGGATCGTGTGGTATATCACCGCAATAACGCAAAATACATTCAAAGCACTCGAGCGCTAAAGGAGCTAAGTCATTGGGCAACCGCAGCAGTGGCATACGAATGGGGATGCCTTGCCATTTCACAAGATCCGCATATGAAGGAGTCCGGCGATCGCCGTGGTCTCGAGTTGGATCGCGGGTGTGCGCACGAACTTCAGGATACTGACTGGAAAAGTGAAATATGGTTTTTGGATTCAAAAAAGTCTAATTCGATTTAATATCAAGCAATTAATTTACTCGTTTCGGAAGTGCTGCATGGCGAATTGAAGAAGAGAATATTTAGTGACGGACGGCGAGGGGCCGCCGCTGCCATTGGGTTCCTCCGTCATGTAGTTAGCATCAAGATGATGTGGCATCGCAGCATGATTGTGAGCAAGCATTTGTTGATGTTGTTGTTGCGGTTGCGGTTGCGGTTGCGGTTGCTGGGGCTGTTGCTGCATTTGCTGCTGGCTGCTGGATGTTTTGCGCGCTGAATGCAGGTAACTCGCCTGCTTTGTATACTGATGGCGTTCCTTTTGCGCCTCCGTGTGTGTGCTCGCATTTGGGATCATAGAATCGGCCTCACTGTCCAGCAAATGGTGCGCGTCATGGTGGACATCGACCTCCGTGTCGGCACTGTGACGCCCATGTTGCAGACCAACGGACTTTTCCAGATGATGTTCATGTCCGCTCGAAGAGTTCATTGCTGCCATACCGTTATGGCTATTGACCGCGTTTCCATGTTCACGATGGTTCGATTGGCGCGATTCCAGGCGTTCGATGGGGACATTTAGTGTTTGAGCAGCTGCACGGGCACCCGAAGACAAGGTGGAAGCTTTCGATTGGCTCTGAAATTGGGAGCAAAAAAATCATACCGTTATTAAGTTGCTTACATTTATTTCAGTAGTCAAAAACTGGTCTGTTGTGGTGAATGTGAAAGTTGTGATCCACTTCAATAAAATAAATAATGCGAAATTAAAGCAAATTGCAACAGCAAGAGGTGGGTACGAATGTAAATGGACTACTGCATGCAACACACATACTACAGCATGTAGTTGTTTGTTGTAGTTGCCCACGCAGGCTCTCGGCTGCATAGATATTTTTGACATTTACTCTGCTCCGCGCAAAAGGAGCTTTTGGGCGCAAGTATGTAGTGTAATGGATACAACTCCACCAACATGGAATCGACCACGCGACTAACCGTTTCAAATTCGTTACATGCAAATACTGAGGCTTGATTGCATGATTAAGGTGCTATCAAGTTTCGCGTGATTTACATTTTCTACATACATATGTACATACTATGTATGTACATATATATTACATATAACACGAAAATGTTAAATAACTTTCAATATAATAGATATGTTATATCATGTTTGTATGTGTGAATGGCGAAATGTCCTCTACATAATGCATAGGTATGTATGTGTGTACATATCGCACGTTTAACAATAAAGATATTTAATTAAACATTTTAAATTTGTGAGAAAACGCAATCAAAATCTGAACAATTAATATATGTAGTTGGCATAGAAAAAAACATATAGAAAAACACATATCTTCGCCATCTTTGGCCAGTTTAGTTATCTGTTAGACTGTATAATAAAATCTCCAAAATTTAGATTTTGATTTAATTCTCTTCATTATTAAATCGAGCCCTAACCGCCAAAAGGACGTAAGCGACAAAATGTTCGATTTTATGTTTTTGACAGAAATCGATTACTTTTACCACCATACGCACCAGCTGTTAAAATTTCAAATTCCTACGTGGTACCGTTACAAAATTATATCGAAAGCAATTTTGGCTAAAGCGTTTAATTGTACTCTGTTTAAATTTTTTTGTGGCCGCAGTGCCAAGCAATTTCTGCACTTTGCACTAAACAATTTAATACAAACAAATAAAAATTCGAAAATTGGGCTCAACTAGTCTCTTGCAAATTTTATTAGCTTTCATCTAAAAAAAATTATTAATCAAATCGGTTGGGAAATGAAGGCTCCAGTGAATTATGAACATTAAATTCAATTTATTGACCACTGTGCAGTGTCGGTTAAGCCTTTTCCTCCGTGAACAATTTTTCATTGCAGAGGGGGAATTGTTATATTCTTGTGTGAAAGTTTTGAAGACCGTCTATTTTTCTTCCAAACATGGACTATTTACAAACAAAGGTAAATACATATACTTGTGGTAGATTTTTAAGTGTTAAAATACTTGGTTGTTGCAGAGTTTAACTAAATGCGCACTCGTACCATACAGGGACACAGATTCTTCTGAAGAGTTAGTTGAAGAGGAAAATTCTGTGTTCTTTTTCTAAAATATTGCACTCCAATAAGGCACAAAAGGCTCATTCTTTGCCCTTTCATGCTTTTTAGGGGAGATGGTTTCTTTTTTTTTTAATATATCTTTTGGCTTAACCGCCGCAATTGCATGCTGTAGCATTTTTTTTGTATTTCATTAAAGATGGGCAAATAAAACGACCAGTATATACCTAACATCATAAGTACCTCGTTCATTGCGGTTTTCATAAAAAAAACGCCTACTGAAAAATTTACTTTTTGTCGCGTACGCCCTTTTGGCGGTTAGGGCTCGAAATGTGCGATATGCAAGAACGTTTTCAATAATACTCATAATATTTAACTTGAAAGGCGTTACTTGGAATCGTAGTAATCCCCGTTTAATTTCATACATACATATGTTCCTCATAAAATTTTAAACAATTTGTAGAAAGGCTCTACTTTAGTTCTCAAGGCTTCATTTCTCGTACATAGTAACTCCATAAGTAGTTCATATCAAACAAAATGATTGTTATTAAAAAAAATTCATATTTTACCATTTTTCTGATTTCTACGAGTTCAATGCTTCTATAATCTTTGACATAAAATTTTACCATGGTGACGTATAACTTTCCGAAATCAGCAACGGAAAAATCAAACCGTGGTTGCGCACATTTGCCATTACAATCTGCTGTGGTTTGGAAGTAAAAGAGACCGATGCTTTGTATTTTGAATGCAGCCAAATACATAAATATACGAGCATTTTTTCTGGAGAGCTGTAAATTGCATGATACAAAAAAGAAGGTATGTAGTTCCATTGTCACTTTTTTGTCGCCATATTAACAACCTGACAATTAAGTAGATTGTGACATTTCGTGCTACCACCATTCCCAGTATCCAAAACCCTCCAAATTTTGTTATTAATTTTCTGGTTATTTACAAACATTTTGTTCTTAGAATCGAAATTTTAACAGCAAAAGGTATGTATATTGTTGGGTACGGCTCGGCTACTTGTACAATAATTTTGGGTTAATGTGTCCAAATGCTTAACCCAAAGCAAAAAATTTTGACATTCACGTGTGATCAAACAATTACACGTTAGTTTAAAATAAAAATTTATGAATAAATTCGGTTTAAAATATGGACCTTTTTAAAAAAAAATATTGTGCTCAACGTAGCCGGTGTTGGACCTACATTTTCTCTGTAAAAATTCGAATTTTACCCAATTTTGTAATGGGTCCGTCTCCGCTTGCCACCCCAAAACCATTGAACAAATAACCGAACATTTCCCCTTTTGTTTCTTTAAAGATAAGAGGTCTAATGCTTAATAAGTTTATAATTGTGTTTCTAGTTTTCATACTACCCATAAATCATCAATTTTGTTTCACACCCCTCCAATATTGAACAGTAAAATATATTTGTTTTTACCCACAGGAACAACGATATTGTCGAAATATACTAGAATTAGATAATAGTCACTTCACTGAAAGTCATGAGGCCCATGGGTCCCAAAGTAAATTCCGTTTTCAAGTTACTTGAAAGACATGGGCAAAGACAATATCGAAATTGTAATTTCAGTGTCTGAAATATATCAGAAATAAACGTATCCGATATAGAAGACTGTAATAGTCTTGGCTAGCTCCATTGTGAAATAATCAGATGACATAATGACATTAAAGAATTTTAAAATATGTTCACTAAAATTTTATTAATGTAAAAATAATGATTTTGGCAAGTAGTTAACGAATTTAATGTAAAATTTAAACATTTTTAAGAAAAGATATTAATTATTTTTAAAAGGTAAATGTTAATACAACTATTTTATTTATACTCTCAAATTTAGGATATAAAATCCCCTCTACCAAAAAAATAAAATTGGGCAACGCCGCTTCGAATTTTTTACAATTGTGCAATTGTCAAAAATCTCCCTTTTAATCAAAAAGTTGTTTATTGAAACTACCTTCTTTTTTGTATCATGGTAAATTGATTTAATGAAATTTTGTTAGAAGAAAATTTCTTTTCATTTTCTTGACCTGCATTTTATATGAATTTTTCGTTTTTCTTGATAACTGTATACTATGTTTAAAAACGAAAGTCGTCCAATACACATCTTTCAATTGGAAACGGAGGTTTTCGAAAATTCGGCTAAGGCCTATTGCTTCACAAAACCTAAACCAAATTCTTTATCTGACGTTGCTAAAAACTCCTTCCAATTTTCGTCGCAGCTGTCAATCTGAATTCGTAGGCTAGCGCGTAGTGATCTCGTTTAGTGCAGTTCAAGATACTCATACTATCAATAGTTAGCATTTAGTAAGTTTTGTACCAACATTGGAATTGAAATGATGACCGCCTATCTGCGAAATCGATTTCAGTGTTGAATGCTAGCAGCCACAATAGATACGAATTGGGCCAGCGCCAGCAGCACTGCGTATGCGACCGTTATGGCACGTTCCAGTGACTTCCCAAGTTGAGAGCAATTCAATCTAAGTAATTTCACACAAAATGCAATTGTTGTATCGTATGTAACTATTGCGAATTGAAATGGTGCAATGGTGCAATGGTGAGCTTGAGTATTTTGTATGCATGTACATATGTATGTATGTGTGCTCATGTGTTGCCGTTGCGCTTGTTACGCGCTTTTAAAACTGGCCGCTGGTGGAACGCGCCGCAATATATATGTCTCACCAATGCTTTCCACCCGTACGCGCCACGTCCAATTGTAAAATTAAGATTCCGAATTTAAATTCATTCTCGAGCATTTTTCAGACCAATAGAAAATATGTATGTATGTATATGTACATATATATGTATGTATGTGTGCGTTGCAATGGAGTGGAGGATTTGAATCAAGCCAAAGTGTAAATTGCGGTTCGCACCAATGCGCCACAATGACCGCTCGGTCACAACACCGGCCGCAATTGTAGATTTGTGTGTTGGCTGGCCATGCGGATTATTTTCATGCACCTGCAACTTTCTATTTCATATTTTTCGTGTTATATTTTTAATCAACAACTGATGTGTTTGTGATTTTCTTTCGTGTAGATTTCATTGAATTAATATTTGGTCTGTGCAAACCTCTGTCTATACCTTGTGCGAAATAATAGCACTTGTTTAACATATTTTCTTCATTCTTAATTTTTATTTAAATTTTATTATTTTTGTATGAAAATATTGTTAACTCAATAACATAAACCATATCAAAGCTTCAAAATTTGTGCAAAATTCTCGAAAATTCAACAAATTTCAAAAAGTGTTCACCAAAATTTCAAACTTTTTAATCAGAATGGCGGTTCGTGCTATAAGGGCTAGATACCACATAAACAATACGCGTGCACTTTAAGTGGGTTGTATTTTTTTTTTTGTTTAAGTTATATAGATTGACGCTTACACAATATGTTAGTATTTGGCGGCGCTTCTCCTCCGATTTGTGGCGTGTGCCACAAAGGAGGGATACAGTTTTCATGGCAGAAATATACTCGGATATTTGCCATTGCCTTCCGAGGGGCGACCGCTCTTAGAAAAAACTGTTTCTTTTATTTTGTTTTTGATGTTAGTCGGAAACTCGGCTCGATCCCAGGCTCTGCGGAATGGTAGTGCGCACTTCTAACTAGTGATGTGCTGAATTATCGGTACTTCAAAAATATTTCGGTACCCAATACCGATTCTTTACATTAAACCGTCGCCGCTTTATATATTTAAAATTTATAAAAAAAAATATTTTTATAGCATTTTATATGCTATCGGCTAAAAAAATTGAACTTGTCACAACAGCAAAATATTATTTTATCAGTTTTCACTTAGTAGATCCAAGGTTCGAGAACAATGCTTTAAGAGATGAAGAAGACTTTCAGGCCTAAAAAGATAAAATCGTCCGATTCATCTACTAGAACAAAAATTTTTCAGACAAGTAACAGTTCCTCTGCATTATGGCGACGGACAGACATACGTATGTAAATATACATATACATTTTTCATTTGAAACAATATTAAAAGTTCTCTTTACCCCTACATTCGGCTTTTGATAAGCGAGTCTACCCTGAACGGGGTTTTCCATATTTTTTGGCCTATGTGCGCTTTTTTAGAAACTTAAACATTTCGGTACCGAGTATCGAAAGTATTGAATACTTTTTAAATCGGTACCAAGTATCGATCAATACTTAAAAGTATCGACTCAGACATCACTACTTCTAACTACTACGCTACAGCGACCGCATTGCATTTCAAATGGGTTTTTTTATACCCCAGCGCACTTGTGCACAAGGGTATTAAAGCTTTGTTCACATAACGGTTGTTTGTAACAGGCAAAACGAATCGAGATAGATATAGACAAATGTACACATAAATGTTCTGAATGAAAAAAGAAATCGATTAAACGGCGACTGTCTATCCGTCCGTCCGTCCGTCGATAACTCGAATAAAAATTGAGATATCTTAACGAAACTTGGTGTGTGTGACTCCCATATAACGGTAGTTTTCAGATATACGAAAACTGCGATATTTTAGTAACTAGTGAAGCTTATTCACTAAAAATGTATGTCTACAATGATTTTTAGAGGAAAAATAAAAAAAATAATTAATTTTTGGAAAATCGGCTCCGCTGACCGTAGACTTCTTTTTACTTGTTTTTATTTAAAATTACTTGCTTAAACTAACTTTGGTCTAAGTACAAAGCAACTACTAAGATCGCAATTTATAGACAATTGAACTCATCTTTCATGCACGAATTCAAACCTGACCAAGTTTCCTACTGGGAATTCTGGTGATCAGTGGTCACTCTGGGTTTTTATATGTATAGATGCGAATATTCGGTGGTGAGGTGGACTAATTAAATGATGCATGTATGTATGTATATATACGTACGGTACCTACTTATGTATGTATAAATACTTAAGCAGGTGTGAATAATGAAAGAAAGAGATACATAATTACAAAAGTAGATAATAAATAATTTATTCCGTACAATTAGATCACAGTTACTAATTGAACTTGAAATTTGGCAATAGAAAGTGTCTATCAATGAAAACTAAGAATGAAAGCAGCAACGAAAGATTATAAAAATGGAAGTTTAATAGTATAATAAGCACAACAAAAAGTATGCCTCAATGAGTTAACTCAAATTTTCGACAAATTTCACTAAAGCCCCATAAATACTCGTATTAAAAGTGTACGGATTTGTACATACATACATACATACATATGTATGTACATACGCTGTAAATGTACGTACAAGCATTTGTGTTGCGCTCCCGAGTTCTGAGCTCTTTGTGGGCACCCAATTCCAAATGGAGCTAGCAATGAACACTCGCTTCGTTCGACTGGCATGCGGGAAACTTTTTTATGTTCATACTCCAATTTTGCTGAGTGCGCGGTCACTTTACGGTTGCAGTTCAAGTTCGGCTTGAAACGGAATGGGGCAGTGTTGCCACACATGGGCTTTTCCTACCAAAACTTGTGGGTTTTTTTTTACATTTGGCAGGTTGGTAGGCTAGATTGGATTTTTGGTAGGTTTGAAATTATGTATCTCCAAACATTTTAGCAAACTTGTTTACACGAATATTTCACCGGTGCATTCGTATAATGGCGACCCCAAACATGTAAATATATCTGATTCGTAAGTACAAGCGTATACCTATATTATTGCCAATGTACAATATGAACATCCATAAATACTTTATGCGCCTGTGAGTTAATTTAAATTGAACTTAACTACCAAGGAGCACTAAAGACTGGTGTGCTGAAAAGGGATTGTCAATACACCCACTGAAGTCCACTATTGTCCCATTTACCAAAAGAAGAAAAGTCAACTTGATTACGCCAATAGTGGCAGGCACAGTAAATGAGTTCTCAGAGTAGGCGAAATATTTAGGAGTAGCTCTGGACAAAGGCTCAACTCAAAGTCACATCTCTCGAATGTAACCAACAAGGCTACAAGGGCATTTTTTGCCTGTCAGAGACTTCATGGTAAGACGTGGGGAATATCACCCAAACTTTCAATACGTTAGGCCGAGGCTACGCAATGAGCGGCAAAGCGGCGGGTGGTTGAGGGGCATTTATGTATGGCGCCGCACTCAGCCGCTCGACGCTTGGCCTCCACCTTAGTAAAACCCTTTGTTAGATACGCGGCACAGGCCTGGTGGCCCTACGGCTTCCAAATATTATCAGCATGAAAACTGGAGTTCGTCGGGTTCATTTAGAGGTTCTTAAGCCTAGGGAACTCCGAAAAACTCCTTAACTTAGCCGGGAGGGTCTTAGAACTCTTACGGGTTGCCTGACAGCACTGGCACTTGAAGTTAGGGTACGATTTGAATAAAATGGAGTTTTCTGTAGAGAGGGACTGCAGGTTTTGTGGGCTGATGGGGGAAACCCCACTTATCATCAACAGCAGACTAATACACCTTGGGGAACGATTGTCTGCTCCATCCAAAATTTGCAACATAAATATCCGCACGAATAGCACAAAAGAACTTCTTAGGTGAAACAAATTTTTGGTAGGACATTTTGGTAGGAAACGAAATTTGTCCGTGGCAACACTGCAATGGGGCCGGACAGAGGAGCAAAATCATACACTAACACTTCGCGAGCACACACGCACAAAAGTTCGCTGCTCTAAAAGTGGCAATTCGGTCAGCTGGCCGATTCGACACCCAACTTAGCGGTCATAGCTACAGCATTAACCGCTATGTGAGTGCAACATTTTGTTTTGGCAACCATTATGTTTACATGTATACATATATTTTTATATGCACATATGTATGTATGTATGTATATATTTATGTAGTTATTGTAAGAGTTGTACGGCTATCGCTGGAGCGAGTTTTTTGAAAGGAGTTTTGCATTTTGCGCTCTTGCAGCGCTTAATGCTGCCATTCGGTCCCCTAACCTTGTGCTCTGTTTCTTCACTCATATGCCTCCGTAAACATTTTATCACTTACGCAATGAAACTCACATTCGCTGGACCGGTGGCGAAATTGGAATACCTTTGTCAATTAAATGTTGGTTTAAGTGCCTTTATGTGTCTAATGCACTAAAAACATACATACATAGTTTACGGCCTATTCATATAACATACATACATACATATGTATATATGAATGTTGAATTATTAGCTTAGTCAATTTGGTGTTCGTGACTTTGCTCTCAATTTAAATAACCTTTTTTGAATGACCTTGTGTATCGATAGTGTATAAATCTTAATTAGTGGTCTCGAATATTGTCGTGAAGATTTACCTCTGTCAGGCTCATTGTCTCAAATCGTGCTAATATTTCTTTAACAGATACTTTACACTCGCCCGGTTCTTCGACTATGGTTTCCATACGGCCGACAGATCCGCTGCTGGCAAGACTGGGTCGCCGAGGCTTATTCGAGCCTTGCTGTTGGTTGCCATTCGTGTTGCCGCTATTTTCATTATTGTTATTGCTACTGGCATTTGCATCTGTGTTTATTATCGAAGCATTTTCGTATCCACTCGTTGAATGTTGCTCCTTCTCTCGCAACTCTATTTCCTCGTCGCGATCTGCAACAGCTTCATTGGCGTTGTCTTCTTTCGCAAAACCATTTTCACTGCCATCATCGGATTGTTGTTGTTGTTGTTTGTTCTGAATAGAGCCCCATATTGTTTCCAAAGGATTATCCTTTTGTACGAATTCCTTTTCATCGTTGCTGTTATTATTTTTGTCTCTTTGGTATTTTGTATATTCATTATTTTTGGAATTGTTACTGCCATGATTACTGTTATTGTTATTGTTGTTGTTGCTGTTGTGACTTTTAAACATTTCATATTTGTACATTTGGCCGAAATCTTGACCAGTATCATCTTGCTGATCACTATCGCAACAACAGCCCGCTTCTACGCCAACAGCCGTCCAGCACTTGTGTTCGTCTTCCTCTGCACTCCACGCATTATCAAAGTCCGCATCGTGGCTCAGCGAGGAGCACTGTTCGTTGAACTCTCGAATTGTTTCATCCGTCAACTGATCCAAGTCGCTGCGGCGATGCACTTGCACCGCTGTTGTACCAGTTATGTGCGCAATTTCTGCATCATCCGAATCAGTGTAAACCAAATCGTGATTGTCGAATACATCTTCGGCGTCTGTTAACTGATTCAATGAATCCAACGAAGCTGTCCTCGTGAGAATGTCCTCCAACGACTCCAATCCTTGCTGTTCACTTGTACACTGCACACAGGATTGCAAATCGCCTCTGTCCTCTGTCCGGCAACTGAGTGGTGCATTATCACGTACAGAGTGCGTTTGTTTTGGAGCAGCTAAGTTCCGGCCAGGAAGTGCAGCATTGCTTTGCAGTAGTTTAAAATTATTAAATTTGTCGTTGTTCATTTTATTGATCAACGACTCAACCTTATTGACGATACTGCTGAATTTATGGTGGGCTGTGCCACTGCTATGGCTGCCTTGAGACTTGGATGACATGGAGGACATCTTTGTTGTGTTGATGCACGACTAATAAAATGCGGATTATAGAACAAGGATTACGCTGACACTTTTATGTTGGCTTCTAGCGCTTTCCATTTGCACACTTGCACCCTACGCACTATGGAAATATTTCTATGTATATATGTTTTTGTTTCGTTTTTTTTTTGTTTTTTTGATTCAGTGGCTTTTCTTGTGTTATATGTACATATCTTTTATGATTTTATATGCTGCACAACAAGTGAAAGTTGTATGCGCGCACCGATTAGCACCGACCGCGCACCAAAGTCTCTGCGCAATTAAAAGGCCGTAATTGGCTAAGTAACCGACTGAGCCTGAGCTCTGCTTCGCGTCACTGTCAACGAACTCTGAGCGCGCACCAGTTTTTGCCAATTGACCAAGTGTCAGCTGTTGCAATTCGAATAGGAATGCACATATTGTATGTATGTACATTTGTATGTCCATTAATTCAAAGCATTCAGAAAGGAACTGGAACAGGCCATATCCCCACTTTTTTTTTTTATTTGCAGTGATCACTTGTTTTCTGTACACATGTATGTAGCTATATATGTATGCATATTTTGATGCCAGATGTATTCAATCACAGCATAGCATTCAACTGTCTTTGTGCGCCAAGGCGATTTTCACTTTTTTATTTTCTGCTCATTTACTCTACTCGTTCCATACAAACTAATAGCACTCCAACCGGATATGCAATGACATTGCGCGGCATTCGCCTTTTTCTTGTCGTTTGACGTTGCCGTAAGGAAGCTGGACAGAGCGGTCACAAAACACATCGAAACTCGAGACGTACTCGCGACGAGACAAATCAAATTTTTCTCAAATGAAAAACAATTTTCCGCAGCTTTACTATTTAACCGTAAATTTTCCGCACAGCGGTAGTAGCCGCTGAAGCTATGTTGTCGCGACTGAAGATTTGAAAAATGCCGAGCGATCACTTGACCATTTCACCAGCCGACCAAGCTTCGCTCGAATACTAATGCAAATACATATGTATGCATTCATGTACATCATACATATGTACATACATATGTACACAGAAAATGTGGCTAAATGCTCATGCAAGAGTGGCTCAGTGCAATTCTTTGCAGTTTGACCATTGCTTACTTCACTAATGGCCAACTTTATGGCCAACAAAGAGAGTCAGAGAGTAGTATGTAGTTTTTGGGTATAAGCACGCACTTACATATGTATGCACAAGCCAATGTTCATATGTTACGTACTTACATACATATGTATGTATGTATATGGAAAACTCGGCTTTATGCATTTTGTTATGATGGATGATGGGGCGACAGACCGGTGCTTCGCTCGAGTGTGTAGAAATTTAATTGAATAAACTGTTTTTATGGCATATGTAACTGTGATGTATAAGTGTTTTCATATTAAACTTTTTAACTCTCATGGCACTCGTTAGCAAAGAAAGGCTCATGAGCGTACGCTGAGCATAATTTAAGGGGGCGGGCGGTGGCTGAGTTTTTTTTAGTGTAAATTTTATTAGAAATGTTAAAATATAGCTATTAAAAATTTATGATAATTTACCCCATTAATTGTTCTATTTTTAAACGACTCCAAAAGAAGGCGGAGGTTATCAATTCATTAACCGATTTCGATAAATATCTTTCTGGTGCCTCAGGGAAGGGTCCCATACTAATTTGGTTTAGATCCGATCATTGGATCATGAAAAAATTAACGGTACTTCTAAATTTTTATATGATACTTGAAGTCGGCTGTATTTTTTGCTTAAAAATTACTTGTTATTGTAACATTGAGTTATACCGAGGCCTACAAAGGAATTTATATTTCATAAAGTTTATTATGAACTTATTGAAGAGTTAAAATACAAATTTATTAGTTACCTTAATTCATGCAAATTTTAAAATGCGACTTCGTCTTTACACCAAACCCATAATTCATTAACCCATTTTTCATTATTTTTAACCGACTTCAAAAAAAGGAGGAGGTTATCTATTCGTCAGAATATTTTCTTTTTTATGTACATATGTTACCGCATAACCGATTTCGATAATTATTTTTTAAAGGAAAGGTGGTATCTCAGAGCTGGTCCCATCCTAATTTTGGTTTAGATCCGGTTATTGGATCATGAAGAAATTAACGGTAATCGTAAAGTTTTACATGAGAATTGAAGTCGGTTTTGTTTTTTGCTAAAAAATTACTTGTTTATGTAAATAATAAATAGTCTTCGAGTGTCTTCTGAAAATCGATAAATTGTTTTAGTGATGATTTCATTTATGTTTTTCCTACCAAACCTCTGTGAACGCTAAGCATACCTATACCTAAATTTGGAAATTGAAAATTAGGGATATTTTTGCGCCCCCAGCCCGTACCTGTGTGCGCCCATGAAGAGGCTTCTTCAGTTTTATAGTTCATGAATTGTGTATATCAAATTGTTTTAAATGATTAAGCTAAATTTAAAAATAAACATACATATGTACAAAGTTTGTTATTACAATCCAAAAATTGCAAATGTTTGTAGGTTCCATTAATTGTTTCCAACGAATCAATTTAGTATTTCACGAAATACAGTTGAACGGCATACATATGTTATATAGGCCGCTAATAAAAGTAAAACGATAAATTTTATCTCTCTTTCATTAATTTTTTAACAACATTTATGTACATGCATATGCCTTTTGGATCATTATTTGTTTCGCTTGACTGCACATTAGGGTGGTCCAAAAATGTATGGGAGAAAAGTAAAATCGGAAATTTAATGCTCTCACCCCCTAGGATTGTTCTATACCGTAAAAAAATATACCCCTGTTTTTTTTAGTTTAAAATCAAAATATATTTAGAGGTCGCTCAAAGCGCTCCAAGTTTCCCATGTATTTTGTATGGGGAAAAAAGACTTTTCGTAGAAATGGCATAGAATCCATGGAAATCAAAATTTTTCAATCTGAAAACTCTGCTTCCCTTAAGAAGACTTCAGAGAATAAAAAAATATTTAAACGTTTTTTAATTTAAACTATTTTTTCTTTTTTTCTTTTGTATATTTCTGTTTGAATATTTGATTTTTTTTGGGATATTTCGGAGACCCTTAAAAAATAGTTAAAATTAAAAAAATGTTTAAATAAACAATTGGGCATTATTCTCTGAAGTCTTCTGAAGAGAAGCAGAGTTTTCAGATTGAAAAATTTTGATTTCCATGGATTCTATGCCATTTCTACGAAAAGTCTTTTTTTCCCCATACAAAATACATGGGAAACTTTGAGCGCTTTGAGCGACCTCTAAATATATTTTGATTTTAAAATAAAAAAACAGGGGTATATTTTTTTTCGGTATAGAACAATCCTAGGGGGTGAGAGCATTAAATTTCCGACTTTACTTTTTTTGGACCACCCTACTGCACATACTACTACCCCTGCTTGCAAAATGCACAATGATATGTCAAATGTTATGATTTTCTGCTCATGAATTTTCCATTTGGAAGCAAAGGCTCTCACAAATGTCTACCAAGCCACAAAAGTTGAAAAGCTAGATTGTGCCTGGCCGAACTTGTTTTTTTTTGCGGTGATCTGCACCTTGTTTCGTATCAAAGTGTACAAAAGTCATTTCGTTTTAGAGTTTATCGACATTACTCGGCTTTGGCATGCTGCTCTATCGCTCACCTTGCTCAATAAAATTGATATGTATGAGTAGATCTATTATTAAAAGGATAGGTGATTAAATCCTAAGATAGAAAGGTTCACAAAGCTAATTTAACTGCACGTTTCTTAATGCCCAGAGTTTATTGGTTAGCGTGTTTTTTTTTTTTATTTTATTTAAAAAATTCGATTCAAAAGAGTAATAAGTTACNGTGTTAGCGTGTTTTTTTTTATTTTATTTAAAAAATTCGATTCAAAAGAGTAATAAGTTACTCGAAAGCACTAACTTACCTTGCGGAACTCTTGTACGAAAGTTGTAATCATCGCCTGAATTGAAGCTGCTCGGGCTGCATGCAGAGCCAAATGTTCACCGCTACGCAAATTGAGTTGCAGGGAAGCTGGACGCGGCAACGTGATTGCGTTTTGAATTTCATTTAGTGATATGGATTGCACAACAATCAGATATTCTGCATCACGGCGCGCCAAGTAAAGTCCATTGTGTGAAATGCCCATTATGGAGACGTCGGGGTACTGCGGCGCACCTTGCACTGCAAATAGACGCGCAAAATAGAGTGGCCAACTGCGTGCCATATCGATCAAGTGGCGCTTGACTATTGCTCTGATATTCTGGCTACGCAAGGTCTCGACGTTTACGCCATGCCCGTTCAACATGCTCAATGCCACGGATTTCTCTTGTGGCGAAATGCGTAGACAGGGAGTTATGCCGAAAACGTCGGATACCACCTGTGCAAAGAGCAAATCTAAAGCAAGAGGCGGCCCTATCGGTTCATTGGGATGAAATACTTCTTTGCGAACGCGTAATCTCCATGGCACCCTGTTATATGTGAAACAAGCGGTCGCTGGACTCTTAATAGAAGGCGGGGCTGGTACAGGAGCTGGTATAAC